GTGCCACCCCTCACGCAGATCCGCGGGGTCAGGGTCCAAAAACACATGGGATTTGCTACATTTCTGAAATTCGGTGCCACCCCTCACGCAGATCCGCGGAGTCAGGGTCCAAAAACACAGGGGATTTGCTACATTTCTGAAATTCGGTGCCACCCCTCACGCAGATCCGCGGAGTCAGGGTCCAAAAACACAAGGGATTTGCAACATTTTTGAAATTCAGTGCCACCCCTCACGCAGATCCGCGGGGTCAGGGTCCAAAAACAAAGGGATTTGCTACATTTCTGAAATTCGGTGCCACCCCTCACGCCGATCCGCAAGGTCAGGGTCCAAAAACACAAGGGGTTTGCAACATTTCTGAAATTCGGTGCCACCCTTCACGCACATCCATCGCAAGGCGTGGTAACCCAAACTGCGAGAACTCCCTCGGCCCTTTAATCGCAAGGTGTGGTAATCAAGCCCGTAAACCATACACGTGTTACCAATCGCCAGGTGTGGTAACCCCTCTTGTGATCAGTTGGTTTTGCTGATTGCGAATCGGCTTCGCGTGGAGTTTCGATACTGCTTCACGACAGCGCCAAGGCCTCATGGCTTAGCTCTACCATGGCCCATTATCCGAGAGAGGGGGCCGGCGGCAGGGGGCGAAGCCCTTACGGATAAAGAGAGAGAGAGAGAGGGAGAAAGAGACAGACTTTTGTGACCTCGACAGATCTCACCGCTTCAATGACTTGTCGCGGCAACAGCGGGCACTGCAGCGAGTAAAAACGCAGCTGCAAAGAGACACTGAACAACTCTCTTAAAACAGCTGCGAAAAAAGAGGTGGGTGTGAAACAGTACTTAAAACAGTTCAAGCACATCGTCGATTGAGACTGTCACAGGCCGACGCTTTTCGTGGGGGTGCTGACCACGGCAGAGGTAGTTCCAGCCAGTCCCAGCACGTCTGGATGGTTTACCCTCGCACCGCTCTCCAAGGCCTTCGACCCTGCTTCCAGTCGAGTGACATTTACAACGAACACATATGAAGAGCACAGAGCCATCGGAACAGTTGAATGCTATGACTCTATGCCCTAAACTTTGGAGAACCTTATCATCTAACTTGGACCTATTGCTGCACCTACCTGGAGGGGGCTCTTGCGGGGACCTTTTGCCGAGCAAGCGCTGGGAACACCTCCAAATTCCAGACCACATCTTCCAGGCGTGTGAGGTCTTAGGTTGGCATGAGGCGGCAGGCACAGGCACATAGGGAACGTCTAGCGACAACTTCGGCCAGAGCGGCAGCAGATTGGCAGCGAGGATGCAATAGGCTCGGGCAACAGTCACTAAAGCGTCTACTTCCAAATTTAAGGCTGCATCTGAAGGGTGAAGCTGGAGGCCATGCTTGGCACCAGCATCTGCATCTCTATTACCTAGGCGCAGAAATCTTTCACGAGCGGAGATACCTTCCTCGTCCACGTCTCGGTGTGCCTTCACCTTAACGATGGACTGAATTTTATCTCCTTCCACATTATTAGCATTTAAAATCATACCTGAATGCGAGCGCTTGCCCGAGTAGACGTCCGGGGCGACCAACCCCCCAGCGGCCCGCCTTTGGCGGGGCGAGGAGCCGAAGCCTCCACCGAACACAAAAACTCCCACACCGGCACGACGACGCCGAAGCGAGAGGGGCGAGAGTACGCCGAGCGCCAACCCGCGCGGAAGGGAGGAGGACGGCGAGGGAGGTGCCGGGGACGGGGGGACGAGATGGATCGGCGGCGAGCGAAGTGGGGGGAAGCGAGAAGGAGAAGGCCTTCTCAGAAGGCTCGGAAGTCCCCCGGCCTTCTGAGAAGTTTTCTGAGACTTCCCCGAAGACAGAAGAGAAAGTCTCGGAAGGCGCGAGGGAATCTGAGAAATCCCGCCGCCCTCAGAGAAGGCATTATCCTTCTCATTCCCCCCCTCGCTCGCCGCCGAATGAAGGAGGACCTCCGTCCACTCCGCCTGAGATGGGCTCCGCCAGTCAGAGACTTGCAGTCGTCCCGTCGTGGACTCGATTGAAAGCTCTCACCGCGGGCATCAGCCCGTGTGTTGCATCGCGGGGGAGATGGGTCGCCCAGACCCTGTAAAGGCAGCTGCAGCAGCGCAGGCGCCTGCCACAATCACTTGGTCCGCACGAACTGCTTTTGACAACGTCGCTCCTCCGCGCAACAAGTATTGGCGGTGCGCAAAAAGGGGGTGGAGGGAGGGGGGAAGGCTTCTTAGAAGGAGGCTGCTTCTCAGAAGGCGCCGGCCCTACATCTATTGATGAGGCCCGCGCCTTCTGAGAAGCAGGGGTGCTTCTAAGAAGCCCTCCCCCCTCCCCCCACCCCCTTTTTGCGCGTGGCTGAAAGCATAGACGGACCGCCGTCCACTCCGCCTCAGATGAGCTCCGCCAGGCCGAGACCTGCAATCGCCCCGTCGTGGACTTCCCTCCAACCTGCGGCCCTCCCCCTCTCTCCCGTCTGCTCCTCGCTCGAGCTGCCCCACCGAATAGCACCCCACCGGCCGCACGGACGAGGCACCACTCCTCGACTGCCTACGCCTGTGAGGAAATGCGCGCGGGGTAATGGGGGCTCGCCGTTGTTTTGCCCCGAGCTTCCTTTCGAAGATGGCTCTGGGCACTGCTGCGCAGCACTCCTCCGCAATAGATGTAATGCGTGAGCACTTCGACCGGACAGCCGGCAAATAAAAATTTCCGTGTTGAATAGGGTGAAATCTTCCACTCCGCCTCAGATGGGCTCCGCCAGACCAAGACCTGCAGTCGTCCCGTCGCGGACTCTCCGCGGGGCGCAAGCAGGGGCTGACCAGCGCCAAAGGAGGGATGAGATCGGGATCGGGCTCGTGGAGTTCGAGCGTCTGCTCTAAGCCATCGCGAGGGCTGAAAAACAAAAAATTCGCCATGAGTGACTTGTGAGTGGCCGAGCTCGGTTGGCCTCCAACCTTGCAGTCGACACCCGCTCTCAGACGCCAAAGGAGGAGGGGGAGGAGGAGGCGGAGGCCATTCAGCAGCACAAAAACAACCGGTGACACGTGTCACCCCCGAAACCGCACGAGAAAAAATCATTTGTAATTTCGGGGTTCTGGGAGCCAACATCACACCATTCAACCTCAACAAATCAACGGGTGACACGTGTCGCCCCCGAAACTGTGAGAAAAACAACTTATCAATTTGGGATCCTGGGAGCCAACATAACGCAGACCTCACAAAAACAATTGGAGACACGTGTCACCCCCGAAACCATGTGAGAACCAAAAATGCAAATTTGGGATCCTGGGAGCCACCATAAGGCCATCCAGCCTCTCAAAAACAATGGGTGACAGTGTCACCCCTGAAAACTTGTGAGAAAAACCAATTCTAAATATGAGATTTGGGGAGAAAAACAAAACGCCATTCAGCCCCACAAAAACAACGAACGACACGCCCACCCCAGAAACCGTGGGAGATGACCCAATTGTTGAGATCCTGGAAGCCAACATAAGGCCGTTAAACCTCGCGAAAAACAATCGGTGACACGTGTCACCCCCGAAACCGTGCGAGAAAAACCAATTGTTAATTCTGGGATTGTGGGAGCCAGCATAAGGCCATGTAGCCTCGTAAAGAACAACGGGTGACGCGTGTCACCCCCGAAACCGCGCGAGAAAAGCATGCGTGAATGCAAGGTTCTGGGAGCCAGCATAAGGCCATTCAATTTCACAAGAACGAAACAACAAACAAAAAAAAGCGGGTGGCACGTGTCTCCCCCGAAACCGCGCGGGAAAAAATATAACTTTGGGACTCCACGGGCCAACATGAGGTCATTCAGCCGCGCAAAATCAACGAGCGTCACGCGCCACCCCCGAAAACGCGTGAGACAAAAACAAATGTAAATTTGGGATTCTGGCGGCCAACATGAGGCCATTCAACCTCACAAAAAAAAAACAACAAAAACAAATCGGTGACACGTGTCGTCTCTGAAACCGCGTGGGAAAAAACAAATTGCAAATCTGAGAGTCTGGGAGCCAACATGAAGCCAATGAACCTCACAAAAGTAACGGACAACACGAGCCACCGACGAAGTGATAAAACAGTTGTACATTCGGGGTTGTGGGATCCAACACACGGCCATTCAACTGTACAACAAAAAACTGAGGAAAAAACGGGTGACACGTGCCACCCCCGAAACCGTGCGAGAAAAACGAACTGTAAATTTGGGATTCTGGGAGCCAGCATAAGACCAATCAGCCTCCCACCGCGCGCGAGAACTGGACGTCACCGCGCGCACGCGCGCGCAGACGCGTGCGTACGTACGCACAGTGTCTCAGTAAGACGAAAACTACCTACTCGTCGACCGAAGTAGCCTGCACATCTGCATACATACAGTTCATGCGCATATACTAATGCATGCGCGTGCGTGCGCGTGTAAAGGAATATGTATACAGACATACATGTGTGCATTTATCTATCGCATCCTTCGGCCCCCGTGGAATTGTTCTCCAGGGGGGACAAGTAAAAAATAGTTATTCGGCGGCGAATTAATGGCAGTCGGGATCCGGGGGGGGGGTCATTATTCGTTTAACAAGTTTTGGGTATTACCTCGAGCGGAGCACCGTGTGGCGGCGCGAATACGGCCTCAAGAAGGGCGCCAGAGCGCTCCAACATGGCCGCAATACTGCATCAAGGTGAGCTCGAGAGGAGCCTGGAGATCCGAGGATCTGATTTTTCCAATGCGCGGTGTTTCCCGGATGTTGGCCTCGGGGGCACGTGGGCGGGCCCCGGGACCATCAAAACTGGATCCAGGGCGAAAAACAACCCAAGGGGAAGGGGTCGGGACCTCTGGGGCCGCGGATTGAAAAGATCACATCGGCGGATGTCTGGGAGGGCCAAAGGAGGTCCCCCAGGAGCGGCCCCGCGGCCCCCCCTTCGATTCCAGGAGGGGCCAAGATGGCCCAAGCAAATGCTGACAGGGGCGCAGGAAGGCTCCCGAAGGGCCTCGCGATGGCCCGAGGGAGCCTCAGGGGGCCTCAGAAGAGCCGCAGATGGCGCCCGCGCTGGCACGCGCCGTGGGCTCCGGCTCGAGGAGCCCAGAGAGCCTGGCCAGCACCGCAGGGCTGCGCACGCCGCCCATGGCCGCCAGCGCACGGGCGCAGCTGCCCTCGTAGGAGAAGAAGCTCCGGATCCTGGCGGCGGCGGGCTCCAGCTCCGTGTCCTCCAGCCAGCCGACCGCCAGCCTCATCGAGCCCAGGCTCCCAGCGGCCTCGAGAAGCACCACCCCGAGGATCCAGCAATCCGCCGGCTTGGCGGCGTACGACGCATCCAGCGCCATCTCCGGGGCGATGCACGGCAGCTCCCCGCACGCCGTGGTCGACGGCGTCGACCCCACGCAGCACGTCGCCGCGAAGAAGTCCACCAAGCGGCAGAAGGGCGGTTCCGACTGGTCATCTACCATGATGTGATCCAGAGACACTTGCCTGTGCACGATGTCACGCGAATGGCAGAAGGCCAGCGCTTCTGCTATCTGCGCGGTGCAGTCCACAGCTTCCTGCGAGTCGGTGCGGTACCCTGGCTGGTTCATGAGGTGCTGGCTCAGATTCTTCGTGCCCCCGACTTCGAGGGCCAAGTAGACCCGCGAGAAGCTATGGAGCACGGAAGTGCACTGGACGATGTGCGGGTGTCGGAGAACGTCCCTCAGGAAATTCAGCTCGCGATAAATGTTCTCCACGTCCCCGGCAGTTACATAGTTTGACTTGTCATAGACTTTGAGGGCGACTTTCTCGGTCGCACTGCGACGCGCCAGGAACACGTTGCTGTTCCTTGGGTTCAAATTGCGCACCAGCTGGAGATCTCCCACACGGGTAGCCGTCTCCACAAGACTATGATCGACCGGGGGGAACCCGCGCATCATAACTTTCGGAATGCTCCCCCAAAGCAGCTCGTGGTGATACTTCAGCATAGCCTCTGCATTCTCGTCAGCACCTTCGACCATGCACTGTGCACGCCGGGCAGTTGCTTCAAGCCATGCCCACTATAGGTTGAGCTCCGCGCACAGACCATCTGGATCGTCGCTGGGGTCGAGTATCACCATGTCGGCGCCCAAAGGAGCACGTCGTGGCGTGCCATGAGCATCTCCACGTACTCCCGGTTCATGTTGCCAGGGATCTCGAGCAGCTGCAGCAGGGCCACACGAAAATTGTTGTTCGGCTCGATCTGCCTCAACAGGTTCTTTAGCATGCGCTTCTCGTACTGCGTTTCGAATGTGCACGGCACCAGCAAGTGGGTGCACCCAGACACCAGCGACGCGATCTCCCTGGCGTCCCAGTGACCCTCATGGGCGGCATCCGGCGCAACAAGCCTGCCTGGCTTGTGCGGCGAGCCCCACGGCACCAGGGTCGCGAACGCGAAGTCCTCGGGGAGCTGCGAAGCCATGCGGGTAACATAACTCTCCACGATGCTTCGGCTGGACGCGGGCGGCAGCCGGCCCGCTCTGGTGCTGCTCATGGCTCAACGCCTGACTTGCACTACGAAGTGGCGCAGCTCAACGCTACACAGCGCAGGGCCTTCACCTGGAGCACCCTAGCGCCAGAATGGCTCGGAAATGCAGCCAGCACTGAGGTGGGAGCACGTTCATGAATCAATTGCTAAGAAAGTTCAAGCGAAATCGCCGCTGTACCGTGCTGGATCAGGCGGTCTAGGGCCCCCCGTCCCCATGGAGGACTCTTGTGTGGTCAATGTTCACTTTTATTTGAACCTTCTAGGGAAAACAGCTCGGGAACAATGTTGAACATGGGCAGACGTCACATTCAAAGCCGTATTCAAGGATACTTTCACCTGAAAGGATGCTGCTGTTAGTGTTGCGTGCGCCGCGGGCATGTGCATACGAATGGCTCTCGACACACGCATTTCACTTGTCGTGGAAAGGACAAGGTGGCCAAAGCGCGCACACTGAATTGGCAACGACGTGTGATAACTGCAACGTCGATATGAAGACGAGTGGGCATGCACGATGTGCAAACAAATGGTATGCTTGCCCAAATCAAGCACGCATCGCCCGTGATTTGCGCAAGTCATATCTCCAGCGTGACACGGAATGTCAGCACTCCCTTGCAAATCAGGGTCCGAAGAGTTCACGCCAACGTCGTCGCGCGTACGTGCCGAAATCCGCCGGCCCCCTTGTGGGGCCACCAGGCTGTAGGCCAGGAATTCGCAGTTTCCTGTGCCAGTTGCAGCTTCCAGTTTCCACTGTTACAGTTCTGCTTCGTGCTGCTTACTGTTCCCTGTTGACTTCTTGCTGCTTACTGTTCCTTGTTGATGGACCGCGCGAGGAGGGGTGGCCCAAAACGAGCATTTTTACCACGGAAAATCGTATGCTCTGAATTGCTGGGGTGGGTAAGAATTAACACCCCTCACGCAGATCGGCGGGGTCAGGGTGCAAAAACACACGGGATTTGCAACATTTCTGAAATTCGGTGGCACCCCTCACGCAGAACGGCGGGGTCAGGGTCCAAAAACAAAAGGGGATTTGCCACATTCCTGAAATTCGGTGGCACCCCTCACGCAGATCGGCGGGGTCAGGGTCCAAAAACACATGGGATTTGCAACATTTCTGAAATTCGGTGCACGCAGATCGGCAGGGTCAGGGTCCAAAAACAAAAGGGGATTTGCCACACTTATGAAATTCGGTGGCACCCCTCACGCAGATCGGCGGGGTCAGGGTGCAAAAACACACGGGATTTGCAACATTTCTGAAATTCGGTGGCACCCCTCACACCAAAAACGCATGGGATTTGCCACATTCCTGAAATTCGGCGGCATTCGGCGGCACCCCTCATTCAGATCGGCAGGGTCAGGGTCCAGAAACACAAGGGATTTGCCACATTTCTGAAATTCGGCGGCACCCCTCACGCAGATCCGCAGGATCAGGGTCCAAAAACACATGGGATTTGCCACATTTCTGAATTCGGCGGCACCCCTCACGCAGATCCGTATGGTCAGGTTCGAAAAACAAACAGGTCCCGACATTGCTTCACGGCGAAGCCAAAGCCTCATGCCTTCGCTCTTCCATGGCCCATTCTCCGAGAGAGGGGGCCGGCGGCAGGGGGCGAAGCCCTTACGGATAACCACCCCGACATGCGAAGCAGTTTAGCAGACGCACCCACCGAGGGAATCAAACAGGGCAGGGCTGTTTAGCAAACGCCCAAGGCAGTTTGGTAAACGCTAGTTGTCCGGTCCAGGTGGCGCACCATGGCGCCTGCGCCTGGACATGCGCAGTTCCTGCGTCGCTGCAGGGACAGCGCCATGGCGGGGCGATGTCTGCACCCACTCATGCGAGACACTGGGTCTACGTCGGGCCTGTCCCCGTACGGGGGGATTTTGGCTGAAAAATCTAACACATCCCAAACCTATTCAAAAATTACAAAAATAGTCGAAAAACGTCTCCTGAAGATTTGTTTACTACTTTTCAATGTCCCGCCTGTAGAGGGACAGGCCCGACTTAACACTTGGTGCGCCTGCACATGACCATGGGCGCCGCCTGTGCAGATAAAAGCCCATGCCCTCGGCGTCTTCGGGCTTTTCGCGATGGCGAGTCGACGACCGCGCGCTGTCATCTGACGTGCTCGATGTGACTGCGCCTGGCCACCGCGCTGCCTGCTCTGATGAAGAAGACATCGCCTGCGGCGCTTGCGCTAACGCCGCCAACGGCAGCCGACGCCTGCACCCAATGATTTGACGCACCGTAGGTGCCCGCGCCTGACCACAGGCGGTGCCCGTGCCGAGAAACGCAAGGGCGTGCGGTGCCCGCGGATGGCTGCAGTGGCGGAGAGTATTGGCTCACGTCCCATACAAAGTGCCTGCGCCACAATGACCAGGCCATTTGATCACCCCGCTCACCGACGTGACTGCGGCGTCCATTGTCGGACCTTGAAGGTCACGATTGTGCCATCATGGTTCCTGAATGAGAGCAGTGACGATGACGATGACGATGGCTGAGGTGACAGCGATGGTGGCAAGAGAACACTCACGGCAGCGACGCGCGATCACCTTTATTCCCTACCTAGCACCTTGTGTAGGTATCCTAGAGCAGTCGAAGTTAGAAGATGGAGTTGGAACACGCCTGTAAAATGCGACGACTGTCCCGCCTGCAAATGCCTGGCTGCGAAATACCGAAGTTGGCGATCATTACTTTGGGGGAGGCGCCTATGGTGAATCACTGAGCGCCCTCGGTGCGCTAGCAAGATTTGAAATGGAGCTGGCATAAGAATCGATCGCCAGCGAACACATACTTCTCGCAGTGTGAAATTTGGTGGAGGCGTCATAAACAACTGCTCCACATAATAAAAAAAGCGAAATATTAGAAGTCAGAGTAAGAATAGCGGCAGTTAGGCTGCCACATGTGCACCAAGGTTCAGAATTCAAATAACGTCTGCAGCCAAACCCCGGCTGGAGCTGCGCCCGCGACCCCAGTGGAGGGGGGGGTGCAGTCGGGAGTTGGAGGCAACTGGGGGTCTGCTCTCGTTGGGCACCAGCATGACTGAAGGGGCCCTGGGACACACAAAAATAAATACACGCAAATAAACATATTCCCCATATTTTCCAATATATTTGGGGTTTTTGTCTTCCCCCCACTTCCCATATTTTTGCATATTTTCCTGGGAGTCGACGATTGATTGTGTCTGTGTGTTTCTTTCCCTCCTGAAAGACCCAGTCCGCAAGGGAAAGGGCGCAAGTTCGGCATTCGATGACCGTCCAAACAGGGCTGGCCAGGGAGGACAGGGAACGGAGCCTGTGTACAGTGGATGGGGCTGCCCCTTTCTGACTGCCAGAACCAAAGATGCAGCACCGCAGCCCACCAGCTGGCTCTAAGTTGGGAGTGGATGAGCAGGTCAGATGTCTGCAAAACCCTGCAGGTCTGACTTCTTGAAAACCCTCCAGGTCACATTGTGAACCCGACCCTTGCAGGTCAGGCTTCTGAACAACTGACTCCGGTTCAGAAATCGGAGGGCGAGGGTGTCCGACGCCCCAGCGTCAAGTGGACATGGAGGGGTAAGGCTCGCAGGCGGTCGCAGAAAGGGGGCGCACTCGAAATGGATGCCGCCCAAACGGGGTCCGAGCAGGTTAGGTCGGAGGATCGCACCGCATCGCCATGCATCGCCAGTGCTCTGGAGACGTCGGGATGAAAAACCTCTGGCTCCGAATCGAGTCACATCGCCAGTGCACCGCCGATGCGGTCATCTACCGCTCGTCGTCCTCCTCATACGAATCACCGCCATCCTCGCCCCTGTCCGTCGTCCTCGTCCTTGTGACAGATACTCCCACCTTCCACGGCCATCTCCTGAGCGGCATGCCAATGACACGACGCATGCGACGAGCGCACTAATACATTCTAACTATCCCATACGCGCGAGCAAAAATCACACCACGCCTACTCTGAACCTGAAACCGTCTCAAATTCAGAAAACACACGCGCAGCACACTAGCTTCCGGGCCTGCCAGCGCAACGCCGACAGCTGTAATGCAACAGTGGAGGATTACACATATGGCCCAGAACGTCGTGCCAGCGCGCGCGCGAACAGAGCGGCAAGGCTTCAACCGCACTGTGCGACCAATACTTCCTCTAAAAAACTTCGACTTGATCGGGCCGTGCCGAAACGCAACCAGACGCTGACGTTAAAAAGAACGCGCGACACCGGCGTACTCCAACGCCAGGGCGGCATCGCTGGAACCGCGCGCCTCCCAGGGGGGGCACGAAGCAGGAATTACCGTTGGCCCGAGAAAGCCCTCGTGATCCAGGGCTCTGACTGCTGGGGGGGGCAAGAATCGGCGGTGGACAAACCTTTCTTTAGTAAACCTCCCCTTAATAAAAACGGCCTAGGACCGAAACCGACAGGCGTGGACCCGCAAAAATGACGGCCGCGACGCCCTCTCGCGAACCGAAAACGGCCGATTCCTGAATCGACGTGTCAGGGCAGGAGGTCTGTCCACCCCCGAAAGAACAATTCCAAGGACGTCTGGATAGGCCGGCGCCCCGAGCTTCCGAGCTCCGGGCGGGCTCCGCTGTGAGAGAAAGGAGCAAACCGCGGCGCACGGGGAAGAAAGGGGAGGCATCGGCGATGCATCGACGATGACCGCCGATGCACCGGTGACGTCGTCGACAAATCGGCGCCGACGGCGTGGAGAGAATCGGGCTCCACGTCGAGCCGCAGTGGCGATGCATCGGCGATGCGGCGCGACCCTCCGACCCCACCTCCTCGGACCCCATCAGCGAGGCCTCGAGGGCAACAGGAAAGAGCAGAGACTGCCGCGCGCCGCCAGGGAGCCCTCCAAACCAATACCAAGGACACGCCGCCGTGGGGAGACCCTATGCATGCTCGGGGGCGCACTGGCGCAGCAGGCTCCTGGAAGATCCCGCGCTCTGGCCGACCCCGATTGGCGTTGACCCCCGTCTTCTCCAACTCGACGTGCTATTGCCGAAGCAGACCTGGGCCTTCGAACAAGAGAGC